CAAAGTGTGATTTTTCTTCTTGGAGGTACTCGCATTCCTCCTCATCTTCCTCTAGCTCATTTATTTCTCTCTCTTTTTTTGGCATATTTTTCAAGTCACACCTCAAAACTCTTCCATGTACTGACTTCTCACCACTTGGTCTACATGCCAAACCTAAGGACAGGATTCCAAAAAGATGAGCATCCTCTCAAATGCTTCCTAAGCCTCGAGTGTATGTGACTTTGGCTGTGCACTTCATTCAGACGTCACCTTTTTGCTTGGCTGTTGTTTTTTACACCAGATTCCCTTGTCCTCATTAAAGATAACGAAAGATTCACATCACAGTGCAGCTCTTTGCTTTGTCCTTTCGTAAGTCCGTAGCAACTGCCGAGAGTTCTGGTCTGCTAGGCATGTGTGAAATCCGCTTTGTGGCCCTTTGTGATTTGTTCCGCTTAACGTTTTTATTTGTCTTATTTACACATGCCAAGGTGGCAACGTGAAAAATGTCTCTGACACTATTTTCTGACTGTAAAGCTGAGCATTCGATGTAAGTAGCTGCTCCGATCTGTTTGGCCATATTTGCCCCCTGATAAACAAAAGAAGGGATTTTAGTCAGCAGTAAGACTTTGGAGGAGAGTTAGAAAGTCTCTTCTATACCATAAAATAAGGCTGCATTGCAAAACATTTTCTGATATGTTGACTGGATTTTCATCCCTTCACTGTAAAACAAAACACTTTTTAAAAAAAAAACTTGAACTGCCTTATTTGTTACTTCATAAATATTTTTAGTCAAGACCCAGTCCTAAGACACTCATTATCATTTACTCATTGATACTGCTAGAGCTCCCCGTAGATGCTAAGGGCTGACCTAATGTCACTGGCTCATTAATAAACGGTGACCCTGGTCATCAAATAATTTGAAAGGATCCAAAGAAGAGGAGCTTTGGATCGTGATTCATCTCCACTATCAACTATAACCAAGAGTGAATTCATAGCAAGCATAGAATTGCCAAGACAGCCTTACTTACTACTAGAAAATGTGATCATGAACATAAACTCTGTATTTTCCACCCCAGCTCTGCCAGGGGTGATGTGGCCTCTAGAGCTTGTTCCAGCACCTCATGGGGCACTTAATTTCTCTCTCTTTGAGTGTAAATGGCACTCAAGACTTGTGACTAGGTTGTACCAAAAAACGGGCAATGAATGAAATTTAAAATCAATTTTTAAATTTACATGATTGTATCTTAGAGCCAAAATAAGTTGAGGGAAAGAAGACTCCTCTGATGGCATCTATTACTTGATGAAACACAAAATGTGTGATTTCTAAGCGTGGACAATGCTGCCAGTATACACAATGATAAGCATGTGTGCATCAGTCAAAGTGGCTTATTTAAATAACCAAACTTTTATTAATTAGAAATGCAAAACAAAGAAGACTGCTGTATTTACAAAAAAAAA